GAGTGAGTGAGGGAGGGGGGGGAGGGAGGAAGGAAGGGACTGCCCGAATGTGTGAGTGAGTGAGGGAGGGGGGAGGAAGGGAGGGACTGTCCGAATGTGTGCGTGAGTGAGTGTCCGTGTGTGTGTACGTGAGTGAGTGAGGGAGGGAGGGACTGTCCGAATGTGTGAGTGAGTGAGTGAGTGAGGGAAGGGGGAGGGAGGAAGGGAGGGACTGTCCGAATGTGTGCGTGAGTGAGTGAGTGAGGGAGGGAGGGAGGGAGGGACTGTCCGAATGTGTGCGTGCGTGAGTGAGGGAGGGAGGGAGGGAGGGACTGTGCGAATGTGTGCGTGCGTGAGTGAGGGAGGGAGAGAGTGAGTAAGGAGGGAGGAAGGGAGGGACTGTCCGAATGTGCGCGTGAGTGAGTGAGTGAGTGAGTGAGTGAGTGAGTGAGTGAGGGAGTGAGTTAGTGAGTGAGTGAGGGAGAGAGGAAGGGAGTGAGAGAGCCCGAATGTGTGCGTGAGTGAGTGTCCGTGCGTGTGTGCGTGAGTGAGTGAGGGAGTGAGTGAGTGAGCAAGTGTCTATATGTGTGTAAGTGAGTGAGTGAGTGAGTGAATGATAGAGTTAGTTATTTATAAACTAAAAAGCGCACAGAGCTTGCTGTTGTTTTAGTAAGTATTTAACACCACTTGCAGCACAATAAGGTCATAAGAGCCGAAGATTAGAGGTGTTGTTACAAGACAGTAACAAACACAAAAAAAGGAGGGGAGATAAAGACCATGTTTGATAGGAAAGAAGGAGCAAACCACACCAGAGCACCCGCCAACCACCCACGCATGCTGTTGCAGTGGGAATTCGCGCTATACAAATGCTATAGCTATTATTACATTATTAATGGTTGCTTGTTTAAGTTTGAGTAAAGAGAAGCACTTTGACACAATAATGGTCATTTAGTGCTGAGAAAAAAGAGAGACAGAAAACAATAGAGGGAAGGTAAAGAAGTAGGATCTACAACTACAAGAGCAGAACAGTAGCACCCTCCAGCCACCCATTCACTGGATTCTAACTAATTAATAATAATGATAATACTAAATAGCATTTGCATAGCGCATACCCCCGCTCAACAGCGAGCTCTATGCACTTAACACTATTATTACCCCAGCAGACCATAGAACACTCCGAAACATTCTCAGCTTCCCGGGAAGCATACAGTACAAGCACTTGATATTAAGCTCTCAAACACTAACAAACTGACAAGATCTTTTGCTGTCTATAGCCGGGTACCCATTCCCACCTGGGTGAAGTGAGGAAAATTCGTGTAAAGTGCCTTTCCCAAGGACACAACGTCGGGCCCCTGACGGGATTTGAACCCACGACCTTACGGTTGCAAGTCCGAGAGCCTAACAACTAGGCCACCGAACTGAACCATGTTGAGGAGAAAAAGGATGATCAAGTGAAAAAGACTTTCCACAATTCCAGAGCACCAACGTCATACTACTCACACAGTACACACACTATGCATGAGTCTTGATTCCCTGATTTCTGGTGGATTTCTAATCAGAAGGAAAACTTTTGAGTTTGAGGCCATCTTTTGGGAATTTTTTTTTCTTTATAAAAATGTACCCCTAAAAACACAATTTAGATGAAAGTGAAAGTTAAAGGAAGTATCATATGGCTGCTTTGACCCAGCCTGTCAGGTTCAACCCAAGCTGAGTAGGATTAGGATACAGCAGCCCAGCAGCAGCTGACACACAGAAGAGCTAAATAAAATCCTTTCCTACTCAAGAATCCAATTCACATCTTCTGCACGCAATAGCAAAGACCCTAATCATACAAAAATGTTTTAAACAAAACACGAAGACAATACTATTAAAACATGTGCATTTGTTTTTTGTGGGTTTTTTTCGTGAGAGTTTTACGGCACTTGCAACACAATTAGGTCATATAAGTGTCGAATATTAGAGGTAAGAAGGGAGTAACAAACACAAAAAAGAAGGAGGGGAGATAAAGACAATAGAATAGATGTTTGATAGGACAGAACTAGCAAACCACACCTGACCAGAGCACCCACAAACCGCCCTTGTGCAGTTGTTTTGTGCGTCAAAATGCTGAAATAGTACAGAGATATTATAATGCTCCTATCAACAGGACCTCTGAGTGTAGTTAGTTTTAGTAATGTTTTACTGCGCTCGCAACTGCATAAGGACCTCTGTGAGTTAAATGTCCATTACGAGTCCAGCAGCCCAACTACTACTAGGCTACCAACGCTACCAGTAAGGTGTTGTGTGAAGTGTTCGAATGCATTACGCAAAAGAATTATTTTCAAACAACAAGAAAGAATCAACAGCAAAGAAGAGATGGAAAAAACACAAAGTTTATTCTTTAGCAATGTAAGAGTGACATTTTGAAGCTGTTGTTCAAACTGTACACCTGCATGTATACCGTATATATTTTTCAAAAACAGAAGCTTCAAAGTATCACAAATTTATGTACTGGACTGGGAGCACCACTTGTCAGTACTCCAGGATGTTTAAATAAAGTAACTGGGCAGTTCAGCACTTTGCAACATTTGTCAGTGTTAGTGCACAGCATCCTTAAATAGAAACACTCTGTATCAATAAATGCATAGGCTACTGACTAATCGCCAATAATGTGTCTCATTGTTTTAACTCACTAAGCCCTGACCCCGAGATAGTCGGGCTACGCACTTCTGCGCTGGGCTGTAAACCAAACAGTATTGGGATGGAAATTTACATTGCTTAATATCGCTAAAACACAATATCCAATGAGAACCGACAATACTTTATCCATGTTTCTTGGCCATTTATAAAAAAACAGAAAAATAAAGCGGGAAATGTGGACGAGTCATGGTCTTTCTTCTGAGCTATTTTTTTAGTGCCTGTTGCTGACCTTTTTCAAATGGCAATACCTCACAGACTATCAAATATTTTCAAATTCTGTAATAACTAAACAAATTGAGTGTAAAATATTTTGGCGTTTAAAGTTGATTTAGTATTTATTTTTTCTCTCTGATTTTACAAAAACGTTTCAAACCCCAAAGCACAGCCAGCAGACTGGGTCCTTAGCCCCAGGGCTGAATGAGTTCATGGAGCACTAACAAAAAAGTCATAATCAATTATTCACCATTTGCCCAACTGAGGTAGTCTCTTCGTTGTGCTCTTTACGATATCCAACAGCTGTAATGAGTAGAAACCTCTATCGATGTTACATGTAGGCCTACATTGTCTTCATACAGACAATTTCTAAAGTTTTTCTAATCTTTCCCTTTGAACTCACATATATACATCAATAATTAACCTGTGGTAGCAACATTGCTTGTAAATAAAATCCACCAAATTTGTTATTTTTCATTGAAGACTCAACATATGAGGCTTAATAAAACAGGCTGCACACACAGATGGTTACAATTAAAAATTCACTTGGATGGTTTTTAACTCGGTTTTCAGATTCAAGTCACATAATAATCTCTTGCTTCCTGTCATTCCTTCGTATCCATTATCATCATTGGTCTACCACTACCACTCGTCAATACAATTTAGGCCAGTGCTTGCCAACATGGTAACCTATTTTGGTAATATTGGTAGACAGTGAGGATCACCCATGTAGTAACAGGTGTTAGTGTTTCTTAATGCCCCGATTGGTTTCTATATTATGTAGTATAATGTAGGGCCTAGCTTGGTGGTACGAAAATAATATTAGCCTTGAAAGTGGCAAAAGTGGCCACTGGCTATCAAAAGTAAAAGGTTGACAAGCACCCATTTTTAGATAATGTAAAGACATGATCAATTTCGATCCAGTCTGCCAGATAAAAAACCAAGGTTGAGTGGGCTACCCTATCCCAGTAGACCAACTGGATACTGTACTTGGCAAAAAAACAAAACAACAAACAATCCCCAAAATAAATCTACCCACATGTATCATTCTTTTGTGCAGACCTAGCCAATATTTCTTTCATCAAACTTTTCTCTTCTAAGCCATCGAATTGTCCGTTCTGGTTTCTGGTATTCTTCTACACATCTCTTTAGGCTAAGCTCCTAAGTATGCAATGAAAAGTCAGTATTATATCCAACTACTTTACAGTTTCCAAAGTGCTAATGGGACAGGATAATCTTCAATCTCTAACAAAGAATGTCAAAGCGTCGCTTTTTTAACAAAGCACTTATTGATCGTGTCATGTTATAATCGTGAAACGTTATGAAGAAATAAGTGTCAACTCAAAAAAACAACCCATTGTAAAGGTAGCTGTACTGATAAAAGTCTTAAATTAAAATCAGGAGTCCACATACACTATACCACGTATAATAACAAGTAACATAAAAGTTACTGAGTGTTGACTTCTTGGGTTTTTTCAGTCCTATAAATCAGACGAGATTACTTTTTGAGTACTGAAAAAAAAAATCAAGACTGAAATTTGAATTTGAGTAGGCTTTCTGCACCCGGGTGTTTGCAAACTTACTTCAATAGGATCTCACTCAGACTGAAACGATAACAAACTGAATGAGCATGAAAACGAAATCAAACTCAGATCACCCTTGTTTTTGGGTGTTTTTTTTTAAAACAAAGTTTACATTACCCAAAACGAGTAAAAAAAAAGGTGTATGAAACAAGACAGTTGGTATAACCTCAATGAGACATTTGAGAGTCAGACTGCAGAAAAAGTCTAAATTCAAAATTTGTCAATCAAGTGTATACTTAATGGTATAATTCATGATCATTATGACACTTTCAGCAGCACAGCAATTTGTCAACCTGTCAACCTGTCAACATGAAAGATGCAACCAAAGTAAACAAAAGTCAGTTGCTTTGAAAAAACTTCAATTGCGAGGCAGGTTTCGTTACTGCTCACTGGTGTTCACCCTTCGTTTATTGAAAGCAAAAAGTCAAAAGAACTAGCGTTGACTTGTTCTAGACGTGTATTTTCCATCTCTATAATCCACCACTGAGTGTACTGTTGACATATATTTTACTAATTTGTTGAAAATCTGTGTTTTCATTTCTACCCCACTATCTACATGTACTAATTTTTAAGAGTTGCATCCGTAAAAAGTTTATAGTTTGAGAAATGAGATCAAAATCAGACATTTATAGACTAGTGGACGAGAAAAGCATGCTTTGCAACCATGAAACCAAACTAAAAAGTGTTGTCGCTCTCACATGGTTTGAGACCATCAGAGTGGACAAGTTGACCCATATCACTCTTTCGGTCTTCAATACAAGTTGTTTTGAGTCACTATGACTTGCCCTTCCCTGCTCATATAGACATAAAGCCATTGCCCAAACTTTATAAAACAGAGACTGTATTTTTGTAATCATGACAACTTGGATGTGATAAATAACCCACTCGATAAAATTTAAACCTTAAAAGACAGATCTTTCTCAAATATGGCGCTGAACTGAAACTGTTTCAAAAAGATCAACAGAACAGTACATACTTTTTTAAAAATCCATACCATTTGGCAGTCCAAACAAATAAGCTGAAATGCACAGAGTTCGAACACAAAATTCAAAGAAGGGGAAGTTTTAATTAATGAAAGAATGAGACAACTTCATTTACTCAGAACCACGATCGTGTGAAGTCTATTTCCTTTTTACACATCCAGAAAAATAAATCAGGAATTACCATATATTATTACCTAACATAAACTGACTATGATTTTTCTTTTCACCATAAATAAGAGAACTTCACTGGGTTTCAACAATATGAGACTGAAAATCTCACACACACGCAAACAAAAAATTTGACAGTCTGTGGATTTTTTCAGTCAAGAATCTACATGGATAAATAAATATTGCTGAAAGGGAATTGGGCATACATGAAAGAAAACCAAAACTGCATTTTCACTCTCTCTCTCACACACATACACACTAGCTGCAATCTTCACACTAGCTGAATGGCATAAGAAATAATTTTTGTTCTCCAATCTATCCTCTTCCATTTCCCCAAGGACGTCAATCGCAATGACACGCATTTTACATGACACTCAGGAAGTTGCTAAAAATATCACCAGCATGATTTTCAGTGCAATCAAAGATTGTACTCTGCAAAATGGGTCACTCCTACATTTCATTACGGTATACTAAAAAAATATTTCCTCCAAAAAAATGAAACCAACTTCCAAAGCAGGCCTACAGTCAAACCTTGCAAAGAAAGCCCCACCTATCGCCAGGTTTCGCTAATGTCCAAAAAAGAACGCCAGTATACACGTATAATTACATAATTACAATGCCATCCGTTGACAGTCTGAATTGCACCATCATTATTAAACTAATGTAAATTTGTCCCACCATATCTCCAGCATAAAATTTTTATTAGAGAACCTCTATTCCTGTTTTTTAACCTGTTGCAATATCTATATTATCACATGTAGATTGCAGAGAAAGATCTCTTCTGAGAGTGAACCATCTTGTATACAGTTTTCAGGGCAATTCGTTAATCATGCATACATCATTTCTGCCATTGTGGACATTTTGCGAGGGATGTGCAATAAATCCTCAAAATAGCTGGCAAGTTCATTCACATTAGTTTCCTCTAATCTCATCTCATGAGAGCACGAACGAGTCACAAGTGCTCCTTCAGTACCTGAGGAGGAAGCTGCCGATTGCAATTGTGAAGGAGCTGAGTTAAGGCCTCGAATATGTACACCATCCTGAGTTTGACTCCCTCCCGGAGCAGGATTGTCCGACTGGGAGAAACCTCTCTCCACTGGCGAGGGTGAACACACTGGGAAATGCTGACTGGTAGATCGGAATTTGAGGAAGCCGTCTGAAGAATGGCAAGCTAACGCTGACTTTTGACCCTTTCCACTTTCCTTACTGGGGCAATGCTCGCTTAGGCTAAGAAAAGTTTGAGCTTGGTTTTTGCTTGCACACGCACCTTCAGTGATGCCGAAAACCCTTACAGCCCCTTTCTCACTTTTGGGCAGCCTGCCTGAAAGCTTCCCCTGCACAGATGAGACATCCTTCAGATCCAAAGCCGTGTTCTCTTGCAACGCTGCCAAAACATCCTTGTTCAGGACTTTTTCAACATCAGTTTTTTCCACTGTTTCTTTATTGCACCCTGACAATGATGAATCCAACACAGAAAGGCGAGCAGGACGGAGTATTTTCGAAGCCGTACTTGCAGCAGATGACTTTAACCTTGCGGGCCACACTACAGGCCTGTGGACAAAGCCAGCTGCAACTGACAGATTCAGGTCATTGAACGTCTTCCCCTTTCTTCTGAGCTTCCTGGGAGTACGCTTTGAGTTGATGGGTTGGCGCAGATGGAGATGTTTCAGAGGCGAGACAATGTCGTCTTCCCCAAGCCTCTCAGCACTGGGTTTTACCCCGCTGACTGCCACCGCAGATGGGGAGAACAGCCTTGTGCTGAAAAAGAAAAAATGTATAATATGTGTAAAATTTTACAGCCACTCTTGAATAAAAAGCAGTAACTTCCAGGTGCTCTATTGAACACCTGTAATAAAAACTTCAAATTACTTGTGACAAAAGTCAGCAGAAATGGTCTGTTGGCTCTTCTTTATGTACTTCTGTTCCAATCATTCCTCTTCCTTTTTGGCTACGTTGTTGCAACATTTTTGTTGTCGTTTTGTCTTTTAATATCATTGTCCTAAGAGATCTGAACAAGTCGGATGACTGGCAACAGAATCAGGTTTTGCCCTAAGAGGACCGGAGTACACACAATTATGTTCCGTGGATAAGCCCTACCCTCGCTGAGCCTTGGATTCTTTTCTTCATAATGCGCCCCTGCTTACATTAGCAGATACGCATAAAAAGTATCACAGTCCACTTTTAAAGTGTTTTGTGTAGAAAGTCATACTGACAATTAAATCTTGAGTATGTTTCAGTATAAGCAAGTCACAGAATTGTAAAGTACAACGAGAAAGATCCCCCTACATGACTACTTTAATCTTTATTTTCTTCATTGTTTTCTTTGTCTTGAAAATTCTTCTACTCATACAGTACTGTAACTGTTACTTACTCTCCTTTTTCCCTTTTCTTTTCTCTCAATTTCTCTCTTCTTTTCTCCATCCCTCTTTGTGAGACTGAGTCTCTCTTTCAATTACCATACTGATTACCCTTTTGCTCTCAAGCTCTTTTCTTTTATTCATTTGCTTAATTCTGTTTATAATGCTTGTTCTTAGGGTGACATTTAGATGGAAAAAACCAGAGCTGAACTCGGTTGGAATTGGAAATAAGAAATGCACAGAGAAAAGGGGAAGGAAGGTGTTCAGCATGAGAAGACTCCAGTGATCACACATGGAAGTCAGTTTCAGAAGACTTGTTACTAACAATGATTGATGCATGCCAATCCCATTTCAGGTTAAATTATAACACTTGATCATTTACAATTTGAGGAAGATGCTGCCGACTGCAGTGGTTAGCAAAGTCTATTATAACATCTCTCCTTCTTTGGATATATATAAAAGATCGTCATTAGTTTATGATGGACAAACTATCCTATTACTATAATGCAATGAAACTAACTATACCCTGCCCCTTCATAGACATTATTCATTCTGTGTAGCTTGTCTGGATCAGGAGACGGTAATTCTATGTCAGTAAACCGGTTACTATCATCAATCGTCATCAATGCCTTTCACCCCTGGCAGGGTAGGGTATAGGCCACATACAAACTCTTTCCATTTATCTCTGTCCTGGGCCATCCTTCCCAGCTCGTTCCAAGTGAGCTTCATCTCTCTCATGTCCCTTTCCACACATCTCCTCCATGTATCCCGTGGCCTACCTCTGCCAAACCGGTTACTATGCGACAAAACAATTTATTAAGTCTCAGATTCTATCAACTAACTTAACATTTACTTCCAGCAATTTTTCTGGCTGGCCTCCAAAATGATGTTCTTTTACTACTTCACTTTTAACTGTTCAAAATAATACAACCCACTTCCTTTACAGGAAGAGGAAAAGATTTTGTAACAGTACAATTCCTTCAAAAAAGGAATCGCACAGAAGCTTCCTGACAGACAGCACATGATCTATCCTGAAATGTTTCCTCTATGTCATAAATACTGTATGAACAATATGGCATCAAAAGCCAGAAAATTTCATCCGCTAACCAGGAAATTCCAGACCATCCTAAGATACATGTCAAGTTCTAATTAAAACCACTGCCAGAGAAGGTTGAGAAGAAGAGCATCACTTCCATCGTTTGACTTGAAATACATTTGATATAATAATATAGTCATGGGCAAATGGAAATTGAAATGAAAAATTGTGAATTGTCAAAGGAGAGCATGGCACTGAGTAATATGCATCCGAATGGACACTTTACAACATGCAAGAAGAGTTAGGGGAAAAGTCAACCCCAACAGCATAAAACGACTAATTACAAAGGAGAAACAAGCCAGTGAACTGTATTGGTTAATCCTAAAAACACTATCCAAAAATTCAATGCTTCACCTGCTAAAATTGTCCATGAGTCTTGAGAACGCTGCATCAAAGACGGGTTCTTGATGTTTTTCAGTAGGCATTCCTGATGCCATCTCCTTACTTCTATTGCCCATTTCAAATTGAAGTCACAGAATGGTCCATAGGAAGGAGGTGCCCTGAAAAAGAAACAAGAAAATAGCAAATGAAAATCAGCAATCATCATAAACCACAATCTTTGCCTATGGGACCTGATATCAAAGACTCAACCAAGTTCTTCAGTATCCCCTATTTTAAGGGGAGGAGCGACCCTTGATTTTGCAGATTTGGGGTCAGGCTATGCACATTTTATGTTGGCTGATTTTTGAAGATCAACAAGTTTTTTGTCTAAAAATAGCATGGATACAATTGAGAAAAACTTTATTCTACAGGTAATTTGCCTTTAAAAACATGAGGATGGATTAATATAGTGAATTTTCACAATTATTGTCGGTTTCGCAAAATGTAATTTTTTTTGCAGTTTTTTCCCTACTCCTTCCTTAGTTCTCATCTTTTTGACATGAAACTTTCAGGAAACATAGTTGGCAAGGCTGCCATCAATGTAACAGAAAGATATTTGCGAAAAAAGTAATACTTTTCCTTTGGCAAGTGATTACGCAACCAAAATTTAGAAAAAGTTTTTTAATACTTTGGGAAAATTCTCATTATTTTTTTTCTTTTGAATTTATTGAAAAAAACTTGCTGTTACTATGATAGGGCTTGGTTCAGGTATACCCTCACCAAATTTGGTCAAATTTGGTCTGTAAATCGGAAAGCCTTAGGGATTTCAAATTGATTGTTTATTTTCAAGATGGCGGCCGTTTCCATAGCAACCGTTCTAGCTATAAAAAAATAAAATTGCGTATCAAGAGATTTTACTATGTCTAACTTATATGTGTACTTAGATTTGATCTCGGGCAATAAACATAGAAAATGGTCCTCAAGGGTAGCTCCTCCCATTAAGGAATACAGTGGTTAATTTTACGGGTCTGTAAATATTGTTCTTGGAGCTATTTTTACTGTCATGTAAAGACGGTCTTCGGGGCTATCTTTATGGTTATTAGATGACATGACATGAACAATTTACATACACTTACATAACTGATGTTGCCATTCTTATTGTTGTTGCTTTATTAGGAGTGCTGTTGTTGTTGTCCAAATGTAACATTTGGAGTTCTAGATCTTGTTAGGAACCAGATATTCCACTTTCATTGTTTGACTGTAGATTAAACGTACCAACCGCGGCAATGAGGATTACTGCTCTCCTCACAACATTGTTTCTATTTTTAGAACAGTTATACTGGTGTTTTCCGGTCACGTCACCAGTAGCCTCTCAGTCTCACTTGATAAAGATGGGCACTGACCGCAACCGTGAATGTGACCGGAGTGCGGCTAATACTCACGAAGTGAGTTTTGAAAGGGACAGACAGGATTATTTATACTCTCATGAGACACCCGTGCACATAATTCCAGAGCATACGAGAGATTTTTAGGTCTTGATCAAGTCGTTTGTCAGTCTATGCTGAGGTTCAACTTAAATTTTATACATGTGATTAAAAAAAATTATAAGGTTAAAAACATGAACTTGTGTCGTTCTTTCATTTCAGGGAGGGAGGGAGGGAAGTCGTTCTTTCATTTCAGGGAGGGAGGGAGGGAGGGAGGGAGAGAGAGAGAGAGAGAGAGAGAGAGAGAGAGAGAGAGAGAGAGAGAGAGAGAGAGAGAGAGAGAGAGAGAGAGAGGGGGGGGGGGGTGGAGAAGTACAGCCAGCGCGAGAGAATAGAAAAAAAATTATTGGTGAAGATATTAACAGATGAAGCTGATGATGATGACGAAAAGAAAGGAAAGTAATTCAACAAAGTCGAATTCAAACAATATGGTCAACAGCCAGATTAATCCACAGGCTATATTACGGGTATCATTCAGCCCATCTTGTTGTGATGACTGCAGAAATTCATTCAACATCTCTGTGGTGTTGTCTTCATTATTGGTACTGTAACTGTTAGTGTTAGCATTAGTCATTAGGTCTAGATAGCTTCTTCAATGTCAAACCCATTGTCTTTTTCTCGAGGGGATTCACTTCTATTCCAGAATTTCATGCATGCGACATGAAGTATTCTTCTTGTGTTTCACTGTCATCTTGGAAACAATCTAGACCTAGTTCAACTTCGTCCAAACAGTTGTCATCCAGAATCACACTTTCATCTACACTTGTTGAACTATCTAAATCAGGGTTGTTCGTTTGCCCTTTCTTCTGTGACAATTTTAATCTCTTCTGGGCTTTTTATTTCTTTTCCTCTTCCGTCTTTCGCATACGTTCTTCCTTCCTCAACTGAATTTCTATTTTCTTTCCCTTTCTTCTTGCAGCTTTTTTTCTTTTTTCTCTTCCTCTTGTCGTGCTTTGGCTTTTCTCTTTTCCTCCATGTCCAATTTCAATTCTGGTTTTACGTAAAATCCCCAGACGACAGTTAAATTATGTAACCTCCTTACACTCACATAAACTCACTCAGAAGCTGTCCGAATAAATAAAACATTTTTTTCGAACCCGAGTCCGAATAGATGAAACCCATATGTGAGACAGCGTAGTGAAATCATTCGCTCGTCAAAATAATGAATGTCAAGAAACTGGCATTTTCCCGCAGGTTTGGGAATTTATATTAATTTTTTTTTTTTTTGGGCTCAACACCTTTCCTGCCCATTAAAGAACAAATTTTGGAGCGGATTTCATAGAAAAACGTCAATTAAAGGCACAAAAGATGTAAATTTGTCAGTTTCCATGAACTCTCAAACTAAGGAAATAACTCAACATTTAGCGGCCATTTTCTCGCCAATTTTACATCTGAAACTAGGCAACCCCATCTCCTTCAATCGCCAATATCTCGACTTGTATCCGAGATAAATTTCTATTATTTTCATCACAAGCAAGGCAAATGGGACAGGCTTTACAACGATATATCAATAACTCCATATGTCCCAAAATTGACAGGGGCCTGATTCCACCTCGCTGTGACACATATTTGGACTCCGCGAGTCCGAATCGATAAAAAATATAGCCTAAATCAGACTCGAGTCCGAATAGAGCTGGCCATTATATCGGATCATTCCCATTCTAAATTGGTAGGGGGGGACAGGTGGCGAATTTTCCCTCCTGTGCAAAGTTACCCTACTCAAGATCTATTCTACAGACTACAGTTGTGTCAGTAGGCCTAGTTACAGTGTACCTACAGCTTACAAATTACAGTAATTTTACAGGGAACCATTCCCATTTCGTGTCACATCCACTAACGGCAGTCAGCACCTTCACCACTTAAGTGCCGTCGAATGACGAAAAAGGACAGTTTCTTTTAGTAAGGTTACAAGCAGATAATTAGAGAACGACAACTAAATGCCATTGGTTGATATTTATAGCAACAGCCATCTTGTTTGACCTCATGAGGGGGATGCCCGCCACCGCGTCCCCTGATCATGATTTATGATTTATAAACTGACATCGGACTTTGGAAATTCAGTCGGACAAACAATGGGATTAGATCTGGATTCTAGATCTAGATCTAGACCCTCTATAAAAAATTACTCTATATCTAGATCTCTAATGACCAAATTATGGGTTTTTCTTTCAGAGCATTCAAACAGAGCCAGTCTCTTGTAAGTGCTTAATTTCTTGTGCTTACAAAACTTTAAAAGATCGAAGCGGTCGATCATTTGCCCTGCGTCGTTGAACTTTCTTTGAACTTTCTCTTCATATGTAGGGCTACTCTTAGTCTTCTTCTCAATTTACGTTGTGTACAGCATCAAAATCAATCTGGGCCGAAGAAGGGTGCTGGACAATCACTGACAACCGAACCGAACAGTTTTACAAGTTGCAAAGAAAATAGATCTAATCCGAGTCGGCAAGCTGCCAGCTGCCGTCGGGTTGCCACCATGAATGACAACAAAGAGGGAATCCCTCAATGACGTCAAACAAGATTGCTGTTACTAGAGTCAGTCCGTTACTGCCATATACCGTAAACGATCTTTTGTGAATATCTCTGGAAGTTACAGGTTGATCCTCATGAGTTTTTTCACCAGAAGTTAGAAAGACTTCCTCTATACGGTGTAGCGCATTACAAAACCCAGCAGTTTAAAATTCCTATAATAAGTTGTGGTGGTGTTTGTTTGGTAACGTGTGTCTGGTTGATGCGCAAGGTGTCTGTTCGGGTGCAACACATAGACTGGTTGAGTGCGCAATAGTACCATGTTTACAGCTCTAGATCTAGATCTAGCTCTTTTCTGACACTTTTCATCTTTCTCTGTCCTGGCCTTGTCTTCTTTTCCTTGCAAGAAGTTCCTGTACTGACCGGAACTGAAGGCCAAGGTCAATGAGGCGTATTCTTTTTGGGAGCTGTGCGCCCCCTGACCGGAGATTTCCTTATACCCGGTGCATGTGTTTTGATAATGGATAAAAAGAAAGGCGCTGTGGACTTAAGAAGGGGAAAGAAGAAAACAAGAATTAGATTATACCTAGACTAGTATTCTGAAAGGAAAAGGACAAAAAAGAAGAAGAAAAAGACATGAAAAGAAGAAATTGAACATTTTTGAGATTAAATTTCCATATATGAATTAATTTTGACATGAATACATTCTGATCATCATCCAATGGCAATATAACGCATCCAAACGGAAGGTCAACAATCTGTTTCAGTGCGCAACGCAGGCCATAAAGAAATAAGTAAAACAACCATAGGACCTAGAAGCCACACTATCAATGCCAAATAGCAAAAAAAGCCGATATTACGCACTTAAACAGACAGAACAAATTTGGTCTGCATCAGTGCGCAACCCTATCTGGCATGTTCCTGGGCATTAACTCTTGTCCTGCGTCTGTGCTGAGATGCAAATCTTATCAGCAACCTATAACGTTGGACATTCCGGGCAGGCCACCGGGGTCACTCAGTGTGTACTGTTTAGCAATGACCAAGAAAAACCTTTTTTTGCCAGAAAGTGTTTGCAAATACGTGCATTTTGTAGCTTTATCTTCACAGAGCATGGAACTTTTTGAATTTTTGAAATCCATCAATAAACAAAAAAGTTACGGATTTTTGAATCAATTAATTTTTGGTACACTTTTATATAATGAAAAAAGCCCAAAATAAGGGACGTTCTT